ACATAGATATGAGATATGAACCTCAAAAACAAACAGCATTCACATCACCATCATGCCTGATTAGAACAAAGAAAATCATCTTTGGCTTTGATTTTTTGCTTACAATAAACACTAACACTTCACACAAAGACATGCATTTGTTCTTGACATACATGAAGTTTGAACTATTTGCACATTGTGAATGACAATAATCACGTATAAGTGTATGGAAGTCAATTTCAGATGTTTTAATTTTAGTCATTTTGTTCTTGAGCTGGGCTTGTATATAGATCCAGTAGAAGAGAGAGAAGAAGAGCAGCAGCAGCAGCTGGCCCAGGGAGCCCAGAGAGAGCACCTTTGAGCTGGGCTCAACACAGCTGGAGTCCCCTCCCTCCCGGGGATGGACTGGAAAAAAGTGTTTGCTTTGCATGTGTGTTTGCTGAGGAGCTTGGATGGGATCCCAATCTGTACATCTAGTTTACACCACATGCCCCAAGAATGTGGAAGCCTCAACTTTTGCGAATTTCAAAAGTGGATGCTAGTGCATGTCTGTGCATTATACAGTTATACATAATAATGAACTAAAACTACAAATTACGCTCATTTTTATATTTCAGTTTTTTTAATCCTCAGTTATCTTACAAACATAAAAACATTTCCATTTTTTGGTGGAAATGTAAAGCAAAAGCACTTTTTGTTGCCTGTTTTGGCATCTGGACGTGCAACTTTTGTGAGTATTGCCACTTTCGTCTAAGGTTTCTGTGATTCAGTGCTTTTACTCAGACCAGTGAACAGCCTTGCTGACACTGGATTAGACCCATTTTACCTTCCTTGCATGAAACGTATGGACATAGCCCCTGTGAGCTCACACAATGTTTAGAGAAGTCCCGTTAGAAAGCCTTGTGCTGAGCTTTCTGATCATCTACATATTGGTGTTTTTTTAAACCTGAAATGACACCAGAGAAATGGTTCTGACTAAAAAAAAAACCAAGGACAGTGCATGCCACATCCCCTGGATGTCTTGATGCATTCTCAATCATCCAGGAAAATAAATCTCCAAAAGTTGATTCTGTTCATCTGGACGTAGCGTATTCTGGGAGAAACATTTCGTCACTCATCCAAGTGACTTCTTCAGTCTCAGCTGACTGCAGGATTCCCCAATCTTATAAACAGTACATTTGCATAATGACTGAAACCAGCCCACTGAAGGAACAATGGGCTGTGAGGTCAGTTCCTTAATCATAATTATGCCCAAAACACGCTGCGCCAAAAATTGGTCCACCCCAAGGATCGGGTCCCCCGACACAAACAGAGTAACATAGTGTACGCTGTTAAGTGCCAGGAGGATTGCCAGGATTTATACATCGGGGAAACCAAACAACCTCTGGCGAAGCGGATGGCACAACACAGAAGAGCTACCTCATCAGGCCAGGACTCTGCAGTCTAATTACACCTACAGGCTAGTGGACACTCTTTCAAGGATGAGGATGTACACATCCTGCACAGGGAGGAACGCTGGTTTGAGCATGGAGTCAAGGAGGCCATTTACGTGAAAAGGGAAAGACCAGCTCTGAATCAAGGAGGGGGCCTAAGGGTACATCTTTCGCCATCTTACAATGCTGTGATTGCAGCCATTCCCCAACTCTCTGTGAATGGTACTCATGGCCATTGATCAGTGGTCTTTGATCAGTGGGTTTTGGTCAGTGGTTGTTGATCAATGGTCATGAGATTTGCATAATTATGATTAAGGAACTGACCTCACAGCCCATTGTTCCTTCAGTGGGCTGGTTTCAGTCATTATGCAAATGTACTGTTTATAAGATTGGGGAATCCTGCAGTCAGCTGAGACTGAAGAAGTCACTTGGATGAGTGACGAAACGTTTCTCCCAGAATACGCTACGTCCAGATGAACAGAATCAACTTTTGGAGACATCCCCTGGATCTTCCTCCTTTACCCAGGTCATAGAGAAAGGGTGCTAAGGAATCTTTCCCATCGCCTTTGTTTTAAAACCTTGTAGCCTTTTTGCAACCTAAGAAGACCTCCATTATGGCTGTTAGAAAGAATGCAGGTTCAAACTTCACTCTTCAGAGCAGGAAGCTAATCCATCTTTTATACTATCTATGAATACTTGAAATTGTATTAGCATTGTCCAACTTTTCCCAACAGATCAGAGACTTAACACCGCATGCTTCTCTGTGTCTGGCTGCAATATTCCCCACAATCTGACAATGGTGCGAATGGACTTTAGCAAAAGTCATTTGTAGGAATTTTCCTCTGTATAAGAAATGAATGCATACAGTCCTGGCACAGTAAATTACCAATTCCGTCATAACTTTAGCGCTTTAATAATGGATGGTTGGCGCACCTGAACTTACCTCGCGGCACACTGGCGTGCATGGGCATACCATTTGAGACCCACTGCATAACACACACACAAATCATGAGTCAGGGTGATTTCAAACACCGTTCTGAAATATATGCACACCAAGGTTGCTAACTGAAACAAAAGTTGAAACTAAAACTAGTTGTGGAAAAAAAAAAGTTACACAGAGTGCTGTAAAAACATATTTGCCTCCCTCCCTCCTCCTTTTTCACCCTTGTTTCAGAGCATCAAACTAATTTTAATATTAGACCTGAGGAAATACATGGTGCAACTTTTAAATGAGGATTTCTTTTTTTTGTCTAGCATGAATAAACTGTTTAAGGTAATGCCAAAGCATTTCAACCTGATTTAACTCAGAAGTTTAAATAGGCCACTCCAAAACCTCATTTTCATTTTCACTTGTTTTTTAACATTCAGAAGTGAACTTGCTGGTGTGTTTTGGACCATTGTCCTGCCACATAAACTAAGTGAACTTGAGCTTTAGGCTGGAAATTCTCTTTCTTACATAGAGCAGTATCTATGTTTTCATCAATTACAACAAATTCTCCAGGTGCTGAAGTAGTAAAGTAACCCCAGACCATCACACAACCACCACCATGTTTGACTGTTGGCATGATGTTCTTCTTATGAAATGTTAATTTTATGCTAGATGTAGCAGGACTCAAAACTTTCCTGAAAAAATTATGCCTTTGTCTCATCAGGCCACAGAATGTTTTCCCAAAATTCCCAGGGATCATCAAGATGTCATTTGGCAAATGTGAGACAAGCCTTTGTGTTCCCTTTGGTCACCAGTGGTTTTCTACTTGGAACTCTCACATGGATATCATTTTTGTTCCATTTCTTTCTTATTGTTGACTCATAAACACTGATTTTAGCAAGTGAGGCCTGCAGTTTTTTCAATGTTGTTCGAGTTTATTTTGTGACCTCCTGGATGGGTCGTTGATGTGCTCTTTGAGATATTTTAATAGCTTGGCCGCTTCGGGGAAAGTTCACCGCTGTTCCAAATTTACTCCATTTGTGGATAATGGTTCTTACAGTGGTTTACTAGAGTCCCAAAGCTAAAAGTGGCTTTGCAACCCTTTCCAGATTGATAAATGACTTTGTATCTCATCTGTTCTTGTTCCTTTAGATTGTGGCATGATGTGTTGCTTTTGAGATCTTCACTTCGTCAGACAGTTTCTATTTAAGCGATTTCTTGAGTCAACGGATCTGGCGGCAATCAGGCCTCGGTGAGGCTAGTGAAATTGAACTCAACTTTCGCCCAAAATTTGGATAATTAACAATTAAGTTAATTAATAATTTAAAACCGGGAGGCAGTTAATCTGTCACATACAGGGCCAAGTAGGTCTGGAGAGCTTTATTCTCTTAATAAATTCAATAATCTTTTTAAAACTGCATTTTGTGTTTGCTAGGGTTATCTTTGTCTAATATTAAAATTTGTCTGATGATCTGAAACATGCAAGTCAGACAAATATGCAAAAACTAAGAAAGAAATACTAAAATCCACTAAAACAAAACATTGTGCGCATAAAACTGGAAAGGAAAATGTATTTCTTTTTCAGCTTGTTGCATTTGACAACAACCTGCCCATTGAGGTGTGGGTGCATCTCTTTACCTAGACCCAGGATTTCAAGATGAGTGTGATTCAACTGTCTTCACAAAGTGTTTTGTTTGGAATACCTTTTGTAAGGTTCTTAAATCTTGACCCTGACAAATACCCTCATTATGACAAATAAAAAGACTAAAACTAAAACTGAAACTAATGAAAAGACAGCAAAAACAAAGTGTTTTAAAACACTTAAAAGGAAAGTGAAACAATAAATTCCACTGTGGGAACAATAACTAAAATCAATTAAAATCAAACTGAAAAGAAAAGAAAATAATAATAATAATAATAATAATAATAATAATAATAATAATAATAATAATAATAATAATGCTCTAATTCTTATCTAATATATGGCAGCCATAAATTATTGTTGAACATCTCAGTCTAATGTGCTGACACTATATGGTTGTGGATTTGTTCCAGTTCAGTCACTAGAGCGTGAGATTAACACTCCTGGCACAGTTAGTAAGACACTGGTGGGCTTTAAGGCCTGACACAGAAATGGCACTAGCTCATCCCAAAGGTGTTGGAAGGGGCTGAGGTCAGAGTGTTCAAGGGCCTTATCCACCCTGAAGGTTTCTCTTAACTGGAACTAAGGAGGGTGTGAACAGTAATGTGTCCGTGTGGTGTCTGAACACCGTATGTAATCTATTTTCAGATGGATTATGTTTTCTCTGTGTGAGAAGAGAAACAGATTGAGAGAGATCTGTAAACTGACACGGCCTCTTCAATCCGTCCTTCCCCCCACAGTTCACTGAATCGCTGTCTTTACTCTCGCTCCTGTGGCGCCAGTGAAGTAAAGGCCATCCTCACTGTCACTCACGGATTTAATCATTCGGATCTACCCAGGCTCTCGCCTCATTTTCTGCCTCCAGTAATAGCGTTTCAGCTTCGTACGGGCGGTGAGTGCGCGCTGTCCAAGGTGCTGCAGCGGCGCGCGGCCCCGCCCATCCTCTCCTCTCACTCTCTCTCTCTTACACACACACACATACACACAAATACACATTCACACTCCATCGTTCTCCTGCGACCACGTGACGTTCCCTCTGTCGAGTCTCGCGGAGAGCATCAGACTGCACCTTTTCCTCCTCAGGAGAACGGAGAGAAGGAGAGGGGGAGAGCGGCATTGAGTCAGAGAGAGAGAGAGCGAGAGAGAGAGACTGAGCGAGAGAGAGGAAGGGGAAGCTAGAGAGAGTGTGTATGAGAGAGAGAGCAATAGCACCTTGTCGCCTGGAGGCGATCCTATGATAGTTTCGTCCCTGTCCGGTAGACCGATTCAGTCTGCCACCAGGCGCGCGCCTGCTCTCTCCTCTCTTGTGAATTCGGGGGAGATTCTCCTCAAATGGAAGGGAAATCGATGAGCCGCGCGCGGCACTGTTGCCACGGAACCACAGGATGCGCGTGAGGTAGGTCGGTTTTCTAGTGTAATATGTGCCTGAGCTGAGGGAACACCGCGGTCGGTTTGCCTTTTATTTACCGGGGCGAGGCTGCCACGGCACTATTACAGGTGTAATTCCAATTAAAACAGCAGGTTAACTGTATAAAGAAAAAAAGAAGTAATTAACATGTAACCGGCGAGCTAAGCTGTAGTTAACGTCAAGCGCTAAGGGCTCAGGTGATGAGACCGAACCCCCGGTGTAGTCGAGAGGGAGAAAAAAATGGAGAGAAAATATAGCCGCAAATCGAGAATCGATATTTCAACCGCATTCATTCACCCCGTCTATCAATAACTGTGATGTCGCCGCTTTTCGCCTCTCAAAGACTCCTAGAAGACGCTACGTGTAGTCCACTGTGCGTGTGCATTTGCTGCCACTGTGGGGTTCTGCCGTGTGTGCGCGTGTGAATGTGTTCAACTGTTTGAAATGGGCTCTGAAGCCGTTAATTCGATAAAAGCGAGGCGGTTTGAGTCATCCGCCGCAGCGCGCGGTGCTGCTCCCGCTCTTTGTGATGAACCTAACACAGTGTTTGACGGTGCCGCGAGGTAGCCTCGTTAAACCCATTTACAAAATAAACTGAAACACGAAAGCTGTTGATTAAAATTTGTAAGAATACCGCCAGTGTCAGAGTGGGTCCAGCTGTTCTTTTTGGACATTAAGGCCGCCGCAGGTATGCCACCTTATAAAAATCTCCTGCGGCATGATGGGAGCTCTGCTGAAGGAGGTGCTGTTTGTGTATGTATGTATGTATGCGCGTGCCTATATACTGTATGTGCTTGGCTTAAACCACTGCCGTGTGGGCTGCGTGGAAGTAAAAAATCTACGTGTTATTCTGTATGTTTATAAAGAGTTATGTGGGCCTGCTCCTTGTGTAGTGTGACAATATGATGTCTTTGTGTGTATGCGTGCAGAAATGCACGAGAAAGAGTAATCTGAGAACAACAGCGGGATCAGGTTGTGTATGTGTGCGTGAGAGTTTGTGTATTGTATATATGTATGCGTGTGTGAGTGTGTGTGTGTGACCCTGGTTGATTGTGCCGTCTCTGTTCTCTCTGTAGGTCGCTGGAGAGAGTGATGACGCGGCAGTGAGAGACACACATACCTCACTTGCACACACACATACATTCGAACACACACACACACACACATATATTTTTTTTTGCCCACACACACTTTAAGTCTTGCCCTACTAAGAAAGGGAGGAGGGGGAGAAAATACTGCTATGACGGTGTCATTTCTCTCCATTACCAGTGTGTGAGCCACACACACACACACACACTTGCACTTGTACTCCGTGGGGAATTGCCTGCATGGGGGATAAGGCCCTATCTAGGGCACAAAGATGGAGTTCACATACGATTTGTCACATATCTAACACTCACACAGACGTTCACACAAACACACGCACCTGGAATCTCATATGTCAGAAGATAAGAATAAAGACTGAATGGAGAGGAGACACTGAACATCTCAGAGACGACACAAACAAGAGGCCAAGGGAAAAAAAGATGTCCAAAGCATACTGAAAGGATGGCGGGAGCCGCTGTTTGACCCCCTCCCTTTCCTGGAGCTGAATCCTATAGGAGCCAACCTTTGAAAAGAGCAATTGCAAGATAGAAGGGTCACCTGAGAAACCCATAAAGAGTTCTTCAAAGGCCCCTACAGTTGTCACCATGAGCTGTAGGCTAGAGGGAACACCCCAGCTCTAGCCACTATCTCATTCCGTGTGTGTGTGTGAGTGTGAGCGTGAGTGTGTGTATGAGTGTAATGGCGGTTTGTGTTTGGGCGGCAGCCCCACTGCTCTTCCTGGGGCTCTGCCTGTGCAGCGTGGGGGGCCAGGCCCAAGGCGAGGTCCTGGAGTTTGGAGGCGTTTCCAGCCAGTGGGGGCGGTTCCCAGTATGGAACGCTTGCTGCGAGAGTGTGCTGAGCTTCAGCCTGCGGACTCACAGCCAGGAGGGCCTGCTGCTCTACCTGGATGACGAGGGATTCTGCGACTTTCTGGAGCTGCTGCTTCTCCACGGTCACCTTCGGCTGCGTTTCTCCATCTTCTGTGCTGAGCCGGCTGAGCTGCAGTCAGGTGTGGCGGTGAGTGATGGGCGGTGGCACGCAGTGCGTGTCAAGCGGGATTGGAGGAACACCTCGTTGGAGGTGGATGGGCGATTGGAAGGATGGGCGGAAGTGAAGAGTAAGAGAAGAGACATGACAGTATTCAGTCATACCTACATGGGCGGGGTGAGCCCAGAGCTACATTCTTCGCCCCTCCGCCTCACCTCTCCTTCAGTGCGGGAACACCCTGCCTTCCGTGGCTGGATCACGGCAGTGAGCATCAACGGCTCACTGGTGACGCTGGACGGCTCAGAGGGCGTCACAGTAACAGCTGGCTGTGGCCCAGACCATCAGTGCCAGAACGGAGGGGTGTGCAATGTGGTCAACGACCAGGCTGTCTGCGACTGCTCCGACACCGGCTACCAAGGCAATGACTGCAGCGAAGGTAAGGCCCAAAATCATGCTGACCCATCATATACATCCCATCCTTTACACATACACATGTACACCTCAAAAGACACATGTACATACGCTTACATATGTGGATTAACATCTCAAAATTTATACCTCTCTTTACAAACACCAAGTCCTTCAACAAAGATATCTATTTCTCATTCACACCTTCACATTTACCTTCAATTTGTGTGTATGGACCAGCAGCCTTCACAAACAGTGCAAGACATGCATACTGATTATGTTTGAGATTGATTTCTTACGCCTGCCGGTGGCTCCCAGTTTAAGTGAGCTCCTCCAGAACCCAAAATTAAGCCCACTCCCAGGAAGAGAAGTCAGTGTAGTGAAGCTGGAGAAGAGAGCTTGAAAACAATTTGAAACAAATTCCTGAAAGTCACTGAAATGCCTGGGTGCAGGTTTTGAGGAGCTCAGTAGGTGCATTTGGCAAAACACAATAACTATATAGATCAGTTGTGGACATGGCTGTTGGCTCATGTTGAGAAACTCTAATTGGAGCAGGGCTTAGATGCTGGAAATCAGTGGTTGTTATATGGCCGACACCTGCTTGCCTGTGTTAATGGATTTGCATTGATTCTAAATGGCCTTCAGAGGTACCATACATAGGGTGCTGAATGATGTGTGTACAATCTATCGCCTGCCATTAATTTGAACAGCTTGCAGCCTGTTAAGATGCTCTGTTTGCGTCTGTGTGATTGTGTGTAGTGATTTTGTGTCAGTGCTTTTATGCATAATAAAAAAGGAGACAGTGTTGTGTTTATAAAGATGAAAAAGTCAGACTATAAATACTTGTAAGTATGCCGCAGATGGTTTAATAACTGCTAGAAGACCTTCTCTTAATACTTCCAGTAGTGCCTTTGGTCACTACAAGTGGCAATACATTGGGCAGCGTACTGATGGCTGTTACAAAGATGAAACAGCTGCTTAATGAACTCAGCTACCAGGTTATGGTTATCATTGCAAATTCGTTAATTTCCCCCTTCTAAGTTGTGTGTGTCTTCAGATTTGCTTCAGTTCATTCAGAGATAATTTGCATTCTTAATCGATAGCTCTCTAAAACGAGTCTGTGCTTTTTTGTTTTCAGCACCAGCGATACCAATCAGCGCCCGCGCCCGCGCCCCCCCACCCCCACCCCCACCCCTCCAGCAATTGATTTTTCTTCTTTTTCCTCTTCTTTTTTTTAAATGACACAAATGCATCAGCCAAAAAAAACCAGCCGAGTGGCCTTCCACCATGGCTACTGTTTGTCACCAGCCTAACCTTACACCCCACCCAGCACCAATTTCAACATCACACATCCCCTTTAGCCACCCGTCATATCGCACCCTAGCATTTAGTGGACAGTAGGCTGGCTTAGGTTACCATGGAAACAGGACTAATAAGAAGACACGATGAAAGATGCCTTCCTAACCCTCCTGCTTCCACGCCTCAGCTCCGGCCTACCCCCTTCTGCACTCGTTTGTACCCGCAGCTCCAAATGACTTCAGTCATCATATCTGCCACGCACTCTTTCCACTCTGTTTACACGCATGTGGCAGTGAGTGGAGATTACTGCGTGTTTAATCTAGGAGGCATGTTCACAAATCGGGCCACCTGTCCTACAACAAACAAGGGAGATGCACACAAACGAGGCAATTAACAAACAGTTAATTTAAAAAAAAAAATAGGAAGCATAAGAAGTGAACCTAAACTAACAATGACAGGTTTAGTTGTAAAGTCAACACACTGGGTTCAGGTGTTGCCAGGGTTGCCTGTGTTGTCCACCTCTAGTACCTGGAAAGAAAATAGCCACACACATTCCATAGCAGGTTATATATATAATATTATTCAGTACTTATCAGTTTCAATGGTGTCTTTACAGATTTTGCATTGGACCTTGTTTTCAGTTGTTTTTCTTTAGAACTTTAACAGCTGTTGCATTTTGTGGACTCACAGAAACATTTGATTTCCCCATGTCTCACATGGTGTAGTGGTCTGGCGATGGTCATTAACATCTGTCCATCTATTTTCTTAATTGCTTATTCAAATGAGAGTCATGTTGGAGGGCTGGAGACTATCCCAGCTATCATAGGTCACACTGGACAGGCACCAGTTCATCACTAGGCTAACAACAGGGAGACAGATAACCATTCACACTTACAGTCACACCAATGTCCAACTTAGAATCAGTTAATACCTTAACATGCATATTTTTGCACAGTATCGGCACAGGCAGAATATGCAGACTCCACACAGAAAGGCTGTGTTACCTCCTACCAGCCACTGGTAAAAACAAGATGATATATAAATGTTTTAAGACAAGAATCAGTGACATAGTCTATTTATTTATTTAGAATTTAATGACTTTGAAATGACCTTATTAACCACTACAAAAGGCAACATATGGGCTTCTTTTCAATATACTTTTTTGCTTCCTCCTCTCGCATCTCTTTCTCATATCGTAGCTCCTCCCAGTGAGGATATAAGGTGAAGATGCAAGGATGAGATGCAAGGACAGCGGTGCTGAAGCTTCCATTATACAAATCCATGGATCCATAGTGCCAGCCTTAAGAGCTGCTGGTTACTTATAACAGGCTTCACAGTTGGACGCCCTGTCTAACTGATTCATAAAGATTTCCTAGAATCTTCTATAAGGAACAATTTAAAACTTTACCTTTTAAAGACAGATGGATATGAAAATCTCTTGTTTATAAATTCATGAAATATGAAAATTGTTTAATACATTGAATTAGCTGCAGCTATAATAGTAATTAAATGAACATTTTAAATCCTCTAATTCATGTATAGAACAGTGCTATTTGTTCTGAATTGTTACATTATTATTTGCACTAAAATGCGCCACGCGGCTTCATAAAAATGTTTTCGATTGTAAAGGAAAAAACAAATTGGGGCTTTGCTTGACGCCACAGCACAACAGTGCATTGCGCCTCAGTATGTGCTTTCTGTCAATCTTGTAAATGACACTACAAAGCAAGCACTGTAAAAATAAACTGCTACATGGGGAGTTTTCCGGGTCATCGGAGGAGAGGGGATGCGAGGAAGCAAAAGTTAGTGCAATTAAAAATCAGACGCAGCGCGGAGAGGGTCGTCAAAGGCAATAATGAAAGTCTTGACCACCACTCCTAACATGCCACGGAGATAAAAACGGTATTAAAGCAGGTACGTTTATGTTCATTTGTGAGGAAATAATTAGTCTATATGAGAGAGAAATAAGAAGAAAATTAATTAGCAGCTGTTTTGATGATTAAAAATGAATTAATTAGGAAGAAAATGCAAAGAATGTCCCCGAATGTGAGCATTTGATGTTTTTCTTTGTCATATATATAAGTAAACTGAATATTTATTGGGTTTTGTACCGACTAATAAAACAAGCAGAGTATCTTACCTTGACTATTATTTAACTATTTTCCAATATTTTATGAGCAAAAAGCAATTAATTGGGTGAGTCATATGCTGATTAAGTAATCATGAAAATGCATTTAAGCCACTTCTAAAGTAGAAATGCCAAATATTCCCTTGATCTAGTTTCTAAAAAGTGAGAGATGCTGTCTTTTTTGTCATTTGTATCATTTTACATTTAATATATTTATGTTTTGGGCTGCTGGTCAGAAAAAATAAGAGTTTAAAAGCATCATTTTATGCCCCGGTACTTAATGCCAGACAATTTTTAGTATTATTTAGTAGTTTTGGCCTTTTGCAGACTAAATCATTAGTGCTAAAATAAATAGCAGTTGTTGGGCTTTTGCGCTGCACGTGTGTTCAGGAAGTGACAGGTGAAGCTATGATCAGCTCTGTGCAGAAACTCAGTGCTGCACTGAGAATTAGGTATGATCCAAGCCAGTCTAATCCAGTCTGCTGTTCTGCTGCTGCTGCTTAGGGCACAGTGGGAGACAGACAGCAGTGGCACACGCATACCTGCACAAACACGTGCAACACAAAACATACAATCACACAGAGAAACACATTCACACAGTGCACTGGCTCCAGCACCAGCATTAGTCACAACACCACTGAGGTTCCTAACAGCGGTGTAGCTTTACAGGCTAAATAAGAGGTGAAGACATTTTATGTAAAAGCTCACACCAGATACAATATCTACTTTTCTCTGGCACTCGTCGCTCAACAAGAGGCCACTTATTCCTTTTAAGGGGGTGTTTTATATTCCTAGTATTGGACTCACATTTCATCTGTGAGTGAAGCCAATTGTTTTGGAAAACATGTGCCAGAGTCGTGTTTTTTCTCTTGGCACCAGTGGCTGCTGTTAGTAATTGTAGTCACATAAATTGTAGTCTCGAGTCTGCTTAGATGGATGTGCTTCTGTGTCTTAAGTAAGAAGCTTCGTAGCATTACATGGTTAAAATAATGTGGAAATTCTCTTTTCAAACTAAATTGCAGCTTCAGAGAAAACATATTATGGTGTTTTACTTTAGAGCTGAAATTTGCTCTGAGACTTGGTATTGTAGCGTAGCATTAAGTTTTGGTGTAAGCAAATCAGTTCAGACTCTTCTTTTTTTCATTTTTGCAGATTAAGATTTCAGAGTTTAGGCATAAAT